ATCTCCCTGTCTTACTCCTCTCTTTAACGTGATTTCCTTCGTGCAATGCTCCTGTACTCGGACTGACATGGTGGCGTTGTTAAACAAGTACTTCAACACCTCGACATACCGATAGTCAATACGGCACCGCTGGAGAGATCTAAGGACCGCCCAAGTTTCGATGGAATCAAAGGCCTTTTCATAGTCCACAAACGCCAGGCATAGTGGCCGATTATACTCTTCGGTCTTTTGTATAATCTGCCGCAGCGTATGTATGTGGTCTATGGTGCTAAAGCCTTTTCGGAAACCGGCTTGTTCGGTAGGCTGAAAGTCATCAAGCCTGCGTTCGAGACGGTTCGTGATGACTCTCGAGAACAGCTTATAGACATGGCTCAGCAGTGTTATGGGCCTGTAGTTCTTCAATAAGGTTTTGTCGCCTTTTTTGAAAAACAAAACCACAACACCCCTGTTCCATGCCTCTGGCGTTTTTCCTTTGAGCAAGGAGGAATTAAATAGCTTCTGAAGGACTTTCAGTACCGGCGTCCCGCCCGCTTTCAGAAGCTCTGTGGTGATTCCATCCTCGCCCGGTGCCTTGTTGTTCTTGAGCTGTTTGAGGGCCATCCTAATCTCGTACAGGCTGATGTCGGGGATATCTTCGGTATAATGTCGGGTTAGCTTGGCTCTAGGGTCTGCCACCAAGCTTGCAGGCTCATTGGACATCGAGGTATACAACTGTTCATAGAACCTCTCTATCTCCCGTAGCACCTCTGTCTTATTCGACGTTACACGTCCATCTTCAGTTTTCAACTTTGTCAAGTGGCTCTGCCCAATAGACGCGTCTCTTGCAAACACTTTGGAGCCTTGGTTCCGCTCAATAGTCTCCTTAATACGTTGTGTATTAAAGGAGCGTATGTCGTGTCGCATGGACTTCATGATTTGTCTATTTAGCTGCCTATATGACTCAGCGTCCTCAGAAGTTTGGAGTGTCATAGAACGTCGGCTAGCCATGAGGTTCCGGGTGTGGTCTGATAGTTTTTGAGGTCTATTTTTGTGGTGAGTTTTAAAATACTTAGACCCTACCGTATGGACAGTTTCCACCAGCCTGCTGTTGATATAATCCACAGACGCTTTGCTGTCTAGCCCTTCAAAGCGATTTGACAATTCGAGTTGAAAGCCCTCGCGGTTATGAATATGTGCATTCGGCGGCCGGAGCGTGGATTTCATCAGACGCGATCTTTCCAATTTGACATTGATACTCAATATGCCCCTGACAATTCGGTGATCACTTCCGGTTTTAACCCTATGAATCACAGAGACATCATTGAATATCTGTCTACTGGTGCTCATGATGAAATCGATCTCATTTTTTGTTACACCATCGGGACTCATCCAGGTCCATTACCTGTGGGGCGGCTTCTGGAAGAAAGAATTCATCATATAAAGTCCTTCTTTCTCCAGAAAGTCGACTAGCCTCTGTCCCCTGGAGTTCCGCTGCCCATATCCAAATTGCCCTACTTTCAACTCATCATTGCTTCTACAGCCCAGCTTCGCGTTGAAGTCTCCCATAACAACAGTGAAGTGTGTTTTGGAGCTATGTATGGCCCTACTAACGTCCTCATACAAAGCCTCCACCTCATCGTCTGGGTGTGTTTGAGTGGGAGCGTAAACCTGTATGACCTTCAGCGAATATCGTCTAGATATTCTGAGTATAAGGCACGCTACCCTATTCGACACACTCCCGACGGACACAATGTTGTTCACGAGAGACTTGTGGATGATAAACCCAACACCACCTTGGGACTTCTGCTCTCCCTCTCGGTAGAAGAACAAGTGGCCGGACTGCAAAGTTATCGTATCCTCTCCCTGTCTTCGGATTTCTGATAAACCAATAACGTCCCAGCGCAGCTTGTCCATCTCTTCTTCCAGCTCGAATAGCTTCTCGTCTAGCCTCAGAGTGCGCACGTTGTGTGTTACCAGGGCCAGTGGTCGTCGTTTTGGGGGGTGGTAGCCGTGTCTCTGCCGGGGATTCTTAGCACCCCTTGCCCCACCGTTACCGTGACCGCTACCGTAGCCAGGAATAGCGGGGCCGCCGGGGACTAGGGGCCTGGTCTCTCTGTTACTTTCCATGGAGGTATTTAGCCTACTGTACCACGCTGGCTAGACGGGTTGGTACAGGGTTTAATTTCGAGTTTTCCTTCTCTTACACTGATGTCTTGTGCATATTCCCTTAGTCGGTTCTTACGACTCCCTGGGATTGTATAGGGGTGGCGACACATTGTATTCTTACTCCGTCACCACACNCAGGCTCATTGGACATCGAGGTATACAACTGTTCATAGAACCTCTCTATCTCCCGTAGCACCTCTGTCTTATTCGACGTTACACGTCCATCTTCAGTTTTCAACTTTGTCAAGTGGCTCTGCCCAATAGACGCGTCTCTTGCAAACACTTTGGAGCCTTGGTTCCGCTCAATAGTCTCCTTAATACGTTGTGTATTAAAGGAGCGTATGTCGTGTCGCATGGACTTCATGATTTGTCTATTTAGCTGCCTATATGACTCAGCGTCCTCAGAAGTTTGGAGTGTCATAGAACGTCGGCTAGCCATGAGGTTCCGGGTGTGGTCTGATAGTTTTTGAGGTCTATTTTTGTGGTGAGTTTTAAAATACTTAGACCCTACCGTATGGACAGTTTCCACCAGCCTGCTGTTGATATAATCCACAGACGCTTTGCTGTCTAGCCCTTCAAAGCGATTTGACAATTCGAGTTGAAAGCCCTCGCGGTTATGAATATGTGCATTCGGCGGCCGGAGCGTGGATTTCATCAGACGCGATCTTTCCAATTTGACATTGATACTCAATATGCCCCTGACAATTCGGTGATCACTTCCGGTTTTAACCCTATGAATCACAGAGACATCATTGAATATCTGTCTACTGGTGCTCATGATGAAATCGATCTCATTTTTTGTTACACCATCGGGACTCATCCAGGTCCATTTCCTGTGGGGCGGCTTCTGGAAGAAAGAATTCATCATATAAAGTCCTTCTTTCTCCAGAAAGTCGACTAGCCTCTGTCCCCTGGAGTTCCGCTGCCCATATCCAAATTGCCCTACTTTCAACTCATCATTGCTTCTACAGCCCAGCTTCGCGTTGAAGTCTCCCATAACAACAGTGAAGTGTGTTTTGGAGCTATGTATGGCCCTACTAACGTCCTCATACAAAGCCTCCACCTCATCGTCTGGGTGTGTTTGAGTGGGAGCGTAAACCTGTATGACCTTCAGCGAATATCGTTTAGATATTCTGAGTATAAGGCACGCTACCCTATTCGACACACTCCCGACGGACACAATGTTGTTCACGAGAGACTTGTGGATGATAAACCCAACACCACCTTGGGACTTCTGCTCTCCCTCTCGGTAGAAGAACAAGTGGCCGGACTGCAAAGTTATCGTATCCTCTCCCTGTCTTCGGATTTCTGATAAACCAATAACGTCCCAGCGCAGCTTGTCCATCTCTTCTTCCAGCTCGAATAGCTTCTCGTCTAGCCTCAGAGTGCGCACGTTGTGTGTTACCAGGGCCAGTGGTCGTCGTTTTGGGGGGTGGTAGCCGTGTCTCTGCCGGGGATTCTTAGCACCCCCTGCCCCACCGTTACCGTGACCGCTACCGTAGCCAGGAATAGCGGGGCCGCCGGGGACTAGGGGCCTGGTCTCTCTGTTACTTTCCATGGAGGTATTTAGCCTACTGTACCACGCTGGCTAGACGGGTTGGTACAGGGTTTAATTTCGAGTTTTCCTTCTCTTACACTGATGTCTTGTGCATATTCCCTTAGTCGGTTCTTACGACTCCCTGGGATTGTATAGGGGTGGCGACACATTGTATTCTTACTCCGTCACCACACAGACAATCAATTATTTATCATACGAGCATATAAATACATAAAATATAAATGAAATCTCCATTTAAGACAAATTATAATTTTACTAACGAACAATCTAAATAAGCACGTAAAGTCTTTATAAAATAAAGTGTATTTCATCTTTCTTTTTTAGCAATACGTAAATAGGTTTATCAAATTTAGCTACCTTTTTTTATTTATTGCTTAGATGGGTGGACGAGCTCACAGCCCACCTAATGTTAAGTGGTTACTGAAGGCCATAGACATCTACAATGTAAATGCGCCACCCACCATGAGATATAAGTTCTAAGGTCTCAGTATAGTTACAACCGCTGCCCCACCCTTCAAACCGAAGCGCATTACTGCTTCACGGCAGAAATAGGCAAGGTGGTGGTACCTGCCCGTGCGGACTCACAAGAGGTCCTACCACCAGTAAACCTACATATAAGCCATTTAATTGCCAGCATCCATGGCTGACAGTTATCACTTACCACGCAGGTCATTTGTTTATCTGCCATTGACTTTAAAAATCTCGGCGACAAACCCGATAATAAGCCATGAAATAAGTTCACGATTAGAACTCGCCTTGAAAAGATTAAAATTGTCTTCGCTGAGCTGACTCATTTGCACTTACTTTGTCACGTCCTTACGGATCCATTAGATCCAATAGCTCTTGCATTAGATACCTTCAGCTCTAATACTAGGAGCAGGCTGAGGAACCCCGGTAACAGTACTCGTCGAACTCGACAAAGAGTTCGACGTGCAACCTAACCCATGCATCAGCTCGCTGAGTTTCTCGCCGGAACTTCTCAGCGGGTCGCGATTCCGATCCGGTAGTAGATTCATTCGCGAAGCAGTTACTCTTGAGTTGTTAGGTCTCCTTCGGAGGCACTCGGGCAGCTGTTAGCAAACCCAGCCCTCCTGGCTGAGCCTTTGCTCGCCCACCTGTCCTGGTGAAACTCGAAAGGCCTCCGGGCCACCAGTAATACTTCAATCATAAAAAAAACTTACTTTGCAAGCCTTTAATGTGCTCAGTAGATTCGGCAGGAGGAAAGCAGCTGCCAGCAGTAGCTTCTTGATTAGCATTACTGCCAGCAGGATTGGAAGCAGCAAGAACTTGCTCTTGATCACAGCGAGCAACGTTAGCAGCGGTATTACAACAGCCAACTTCTTCTTTTTACCACGACCTGCAAATAATATGTGATAAAACTATAAATTTTTGTTGTTTTTAAGCTATTGCATAGCTTTTATCGCGGGCTTTGAGCGCGGCGACCGTGTCAAGAAATTCCGTAACGAAAATAAAACCTAACACCCCCACTCCGCCTACTATGTAGCTCGCGTTCAACACATTCACACGTTGCGCTTGTGTAGTGTTTGTGAATAAGCGCGCGGCATGACGTCGCACTGCATGCGCATCATGCAAAGTCTGCCCATCTCTATCTCGCGCGGCCTAGCTTATGAGTATGAAGGGGACAGTTAATGTTTTGTTTTTGTTAATGTTTTAAAATATAACGTGGTCTTATTTTATTATTGTTTTAATATTAAATTATTATTGTCTAATTATAATTGCATAAGTTGATAAAAAAATGCTATGCAATAGTTTTACCGCGGCAGTCTCGGAGTGCCACACGTGTTTTTTATTTGCATAGATGAGTGGATCAACTTACGGCCCACCTGAATTAGTGACTGGAGCACACAGACATCTACAACGTAAATGCATCACCCACGTTGAGATATAAGTTCTAAGCTCTCCATATAGTTACAACGGCTGCCCCACCCTTCAAACCGAAACGCATTACTGCTTCACGGATGAAATGGGCAAGGCGGTGGTACCTACCCGTGTGGGTTCACCAGAGGTTCTACCTAGGTGGAAGTCCACCTAGGTAGGACCACCTAGGTTGGTATGACCACCAGTAATTACGCAAATTATAATTTTGCAGGTTTGATTTTTATTACACGATCTTATTCCTCCTTCACCGCGGAAGTCAATGGGGAACATTTTTAAAGTACATAGTTCTAGAAAAATTGGTAACTGCCTGCGGGATTCGAACACCGGTGGATCGTTAGATACGAATGCACCGGACGTTTTATCCTTTAGGCTTTATCGATTTTTATACCTCGGTCTAGTCATCTTTTTTCATTAAAACAAATTTAGAAAATTCGCATATTAAGTCAATTTCCGAACTAAGGTCTCATGATTGTTTTATTGAGAGCACGCTCGGCTTAATTAACCGTGATTAAATTAAAACGGTAATGCTCTTATTTTATAGAATCGATTGTCGAGATTTGTTTCGTTTCCGGATTGGAGGGTCACGGCCCGCATTTCCGAACCACTAAGCAGTGACCTGTCCGTATCTGTGTCGATTACAATTATACCACTCTTTTGTTGGGTTAATTACGAGATTTCAATCGTTTTCCATTGCGATTCCATCTTTGGTCGTAAAAAGTGGCACACTTTTGCTAGTAATAAAGTAAATCTGAAGTAAAAGTGGCACACTTTTGCTAGTAATAATGTTAACGACGATGAATTACTGGTGGTAGGATATCTTGTGAGTCCGCACGGGTAGGTAATACGACCCTGCCTATGTCTGCCGTGAAGCAGTAATGCGTTTCGGTTTGGAGAGGGGGCAGCCGTTGTAACTATACTGAGACCTTAGAACTTATACCTCAAGGTGGGTGGCCGCATTTACATTGTCTATGGGCTCCGATAACCACTTAACTCCAGGTGGACTGTGAGCTCGTCCACCCGTCTTAGTAATAAAAAATAAATAAATGGAATAGTCGTTTTTGGAAACATATACTAATACCAAGTATATACACGTAATACTTTGGGAGGGTTAAAATTACTGACAAAACCTACAATTTCCCATGTTGAACCTTTGGTTTTTACAACCATATTCGCCAAATATTACTGAGAATATGTAAACAGGGGCGAAGTCACGTCTGAAAGTTATCGGTTGATACCATTAACACGGTGTCTGGTTTAATGTGGAGGATGAAGCGGAATATTTCCTTTAAGAATAAGCGAGGCAGCCTTTGCCCAACATAATATATTATTATAAAAAATAAAAATAATAATAAAAATAAATAAATGAATATCAGTGAATAGGTAATTACGCATTATTGTTTACATGAATGATAGACACTTTTCAGTTAATATCAGTTGAAAAACCCAACTACTGAACCCGATTCTCATGAAACTGAAATAAAATTTCTGTTCTTCTAAATGATATCAACAATAATGTCTTAAACGTTAACACTGATAAAAAAAAAAATTTGCAGATGACTCTCATATTTAAGCTGCCCATATTCGCTGATTTGTTTTTTAAGCCTTAAGTTAGTAGTGGGAGATTAGTAGTCTCGAAGAAGACATCTGTTTCGCCTTTACTCCGACCTTGAATCACTAAAGTTATCAATATCATCAGGCGGGCCGCGAGTTAATCTACTTCTATAACGCGGGCTATAAAGTGGTTTAAATATTATTCACCTACCATCCTATGGGTACCGGAATCGATTTCCAGAGATCTTTTCTGCTACCTACCATCCGGCTTTGGAATGAACTTCACTCCGCGTTGTTTCCCGAGCGCTATGACATGTCAGTCTTCAAACGAGGCTTGCGGAGAATACTCAATGGTAGGCAGCGACTTGGCTGTGCCCCTGACACTACTGGCGTCCATGAGCGACAGTGACCATTTACCATCAGGTAGACTGTATACTCATCTGCCTAAATAGGCAATATAAAAAAAATCTAGTTTCAAACTGAAGGTTTGAATTTAAATCATGTTTTTGCTTGGACGGTTAAGCAGCTCCGCAGCCCTTAGATATCACAACGTAAGTGTCGCCACCCACTTTGGGATATAAGGTCTAAGCCTTAAATTGTATACTGTTCCATCCCTCAAATAGGCAATGGTTGTGGTAGCCACTTTGGCTTACAGCACGACTAATCACTGCATATATTGAACATGTTTCTAGATATAGAAATATCAATGTAGGATTGGTAAGAACGGAACGTATGAAAAGAGCGTGGAACGGAGCGTTAAGATGTGAGTGAGAGAAAACGGAAAGAAAGAGAGAAGAGAATGACAGATAGAATGACAGAGAATTGGAAGATGGCGAAGACGGTTGAAAAATGAGTAAGACGTAATAAAATTAGTGTTAATTATTAATTACTATTATAATAGAAGATTTTGGAATAGTATAATTTTTATTTTATGCGCTGCGATCCCTATTCTACATCAATATACTTTATGTCGCTCGTAGCTTGCGCCACACGTAAAGTAAAGGGTTTAGCCCACGAGGTTACCTCGATAAAAACTTTTCAAATATAACTCCACATTACCGTATCTGTATGAAAATCTTCTAGAAACCCGAAATACTATTGGGTTTGTTTTTCGAAACAATAGGATGTTGCATTATGCATTATCATAGGGTATCTGAAAGCGGGATCATTCGTAGGCATTCCCTGCTTTACCTAAAAGATTAATTATACGTAATGTTAGAAAACAGAATAAGGTGAATCTTATCTTCAGGGTTAGAGGCTGGCTAAATAAGTTTCCCGATAGTTCGACCCTCTACAAAAACAAGCTGGATAATACCAGTAATATAGAGTTACTTCATTGTTATTCTATATAGGTAGGCTATGGGGAGTATTTTTGTCAGAGTATTATTAATGTACGATTTTTGGTACACGCGCACCGGTATCAGCAAATCAAGAACAGGTATGTAAATCTGTTTCTGGTTCCCACAGCACAGAGAATCCTAGCTTGAAGCCGAAGATCTTTTTTTCCTATTCTAGTAGAGGGGTTATACTGGATTCACCAAGCGAGTAGGTAAGGGCTCTAACCTGGTGACGTTGCTAACACTAGCCCTAGCAAGAATTCGCAGCTTCATAGAATCTACCACCAGTTTGGAAACGCGACCCACTGAGGAGATCCGGCTAGAAACTCAATGGCCTGTGTCTGTGGGTTAATTTACTCGCCAAGCTCTTTGTCGCAAGCGACGGGTTCGGCGAGAACGATGAACGGTACTTGAGGTACCTAAAAACACCGTCAGTGGATCGGGAGGATCCGAAAGGACGACCGTGTGTGATTAGTCTCGGATTATATTTCAATGATGTAGTTCATATTTCCGTTCTTCGCTTATTGTAGACCTAATTAAAGCCACTTACACGGTTTAATCTTGCGTTTTTTGTCATTGTTATTGTCATGGTTTTTCTTTCGGACGTTTTCGAATACATTACAGTATGCGCGGTCAAGGACGTTTTATTTATTTACGTATATCACACATTTAGCGATACTCAAAGTAGTGGATTCAGTAATGCATCATTAAATACTCTGGTTTTAGATCGATTTAAATGGCCGATGAGAAAATAAGGTAAGGCGAGATATCGGGGACGAGGTGAAAGTGTTTGTGGTTTAGTAGCAAACAGACCGGGGAATGACCCTAGGGACGGCTTCGTACATAGTTACCGCTTAATTAGGGTTGTTAAATTCCAGTTATCCCTTGCCCCAAAAATTATATCCTATATATGGTAATATAACGTTTTGGAGATAGGCTTTATCTCACTTCATTACCGCTAAATAGAATATGAAATGCACGAGTATTCAACCATTGCACCGTATAAGTTTTGAGGAATAATCGGAGATCCAGCATATTTTCTTTTGTTCTGGCTTTTTCTTTTTAGCGATCTGGTCCAGCGCATCGTTGATATTATTGTGACCTTCCAAGTGTTTCCATTGTGTATCAGCGTTAGCGTGAATGTGCGTTGGAGAATCCTTCAAAATAGCCTCTAAGGTACAAGTGGCCACTTTAAGTAGACCAAAAATATAAATTCAATAATATCTGAGAGCAACCTTTTATGAGTTAAAAGCTTCAATTAATTTCTAAGGGATAATTAAAATTAATTTAAGGTACCTCTTGAAACAAAATATCGGTGATTTTTTTTTGTAATTAAATCAATACAGACTTTTGCTTCGACCACACGATACAGTACGAGGAGAGTCCATAGTTCTTATAAAGAGAGAAGTGTAGCCCTTTATAATAATTAAGTTGAACTATTAAATCTTCCATTGATTTGAGGCGTTATAGAAAGCAATGCGTGGTGTCGTGGTCTAGATTCCCAAGATACATAAAATATGTATAAATCGTATTTAGAAAAAAACAAAACTACTTTATCTTTCTGTTTTTAAATTAGATAGGTAAACGAGCTAACAGTCCATCTGATGTAAAATGATTGCCGAAACTAGTTTTTTATTTTATTTTATTGCTTAGATGGGTGGACGAGCTCACAACCCACCTGGTGTTAAGTGGTTAATGGAGCCCATAGACATCCACAACTTAAATGCGCCACCCACCTTGAGATATAAGTTCTAAGGTTTCAAATATAGTTACAACGGCTGCCCTACCCTTCAAACCGAAACGCATTACTGCTTCACGGCAGAAATAGGCAGGGCGGTGGTACCTACCCGCGCGGCCTCACAAGAGGTCCTACCACCAGTAATAGTAGATATTACAGCGTGACTGTTTTGGAACAGAAATAGGCAGGAGGGCGGACATTTATAAAGTAAATGTTTCTTTTTTCTAGGATCAGATGTGTATCTGTCAAACGTCCTGTATTCTTCTGTTGCTAAATACTGGTTTTAAACAAAGATGTTTAATGCTATGGCACAATTCTAGTAGCGATGGTGGGCTTATAGTCTCACTAGTCTCTGCAATAAGAGCAATCGCCAATCCTCTTTCAAAATCGAGGGCTCTTCTAAAGCATCCCCTGAACAGAATTGCACAGTTTATAGACAAACGAAATATCAGCTATAGACTAAGTACTCTAAAAGACCGGAAAACATCGTTAAAAGACAGGAAATTGGGTCCACTTCAAACGCAAACCCACTCGCAAATTTAAAAGGCTGTGTAAATTGGCGAGTGACTTTGAGGTTGTATTTGAGTGTTTCGCAGAATTACTTAGAAATAAACTTTACAGCGAATCAATGTAAATTGATGGTTTTCGTATTAATGGGTTCGGGTTCATTGATAATTCGACCTCATGTCTCATGATGTCTGGCGGTAACTACGTTGTGATGTCTATGAGCTCTGGTTACCACATCATCAATTTATTTCATTTTTCAGATTCACTGCAAGCTAAACTATTATTATAAAAACTCACCATCATCAGTCGTTTCCTCCTCCACGGTTCTGGCTCCCTCTGGTATTTCCACCTTCAGACCTTTGACGTTCAGGAAGTCCTGCACGAGCCGCATCAAGTACTTGGCAAACTCGGCCCATTCAGACAAGAACCCTCTTGGTTTTACGTCCCTTACTGTTTTCTTCACGCCTAAGCTCTTGATGGTTTCCACATCTAACGGGACCAGACTGAATAGGTTTGTCGTAATCGTTTCGTTGTTGTTATCTCCAAAAAAGGTTTCCTTGATGACTTTGAGGCCCTTGTACTTGACACAAGAAATAGCCTCTCCCTTAACAAAGCAGCTGTCCTTGACGTATCGGAGATATCCATCTTCGGTCACATTTGACCGGGACAGTTGCAGTGTCGTCATGAATAAGACGATGAGTAATCCAGACATTTCTGGAAGAAAGGAAAAGAAAAATTTACAATAATATGGACAAACAATCCATATTCAAGGGTCTAAAATAGTATTTTTGAGACAAGGACTGATTGACCCAGATGAGAAATCACCAAATCTTTGACGAGGGTTCTGACAATGATTGGGAATGAAACTTGGGATCCCGTGGGATTGCAGTCACTAATCACTAAGCTTAACTTGCAGTTGATGCTGTCTGTCATCTCAAAGCTGACATTCCTATTATGGTCATGACATTAATTGAACTTAGGGCAGACTGACATCTATACTTACATATAAAAATGAATTGCTGTTCGTTAGCCTCGCTAAAACTCGAGAACGGCTGGACCGATTTGGCTAATTTTGGTCTTGAATTATTTGTGGAGGTCTAGAGAAGGTTTTAAAGGTAGATAAATATGAAAATGCTCGGAATTAAATAAAAATAACAATTTTGTTTTTCCTTTGATGTGCCCCCCGTCGGACAGATTCCTTTTGTTTGTTTTAGGTTTATTTTATACAAAAGTTTAGGTCTTTTATTTATCGATTGAGGCACTACGAAGTCTGCCGGGTCAGCTAGTAATTTAAATAAAATACCTGCCTAAGCTATTAATTGAATTTCTTTTACTATCGTAAATTAGATTAGCTGATTGTTCTAAAGTTGGAGTCTAAAGGCATCACCATGATAGTATTATCCTTCAAATCGAAACGCACCATGCTTTGCAGCAGAAATAGGTGGGACTCATGAATTAGCCCGTGCGGTTCCTATTTAAAACATTATGTAAAAGCATCTCAAGAACTAAGTTTAATTTCCGACCACATTTTTATTAAATGAAGAGTTTCAAGCCTGCAGAAAACTTTACTATCTCGAGCTTTAAGCCGTTTTGTGGAAGTCCTAAAGTTGGGTCGTTAAGCTTTTAACGTGGTTTAATTAATAATGAGCTTTATTGTCTTAGGAATACGGGTTGTGCGCTACTCTGATTAAGCATTTGAAAACTATGGCTTCACTTTACGAAGACAGGAGTAATTAACGAGGGAAAATTAATTTTCTTCAAATAATATAATTAGTTCATATACATAGTTGTAAAATGTCCGGTCTATGTTTGAAAAAACCTTCTACTCATTCCAATTGAGAAATTACATTCGGTAACTTCAGACAAACCTATATATTTTACCGAAAGCCTCCCATAATCTGAACAAAGTTCTGAACAGAACAAGATCTAACGAACTTAGTCAGAGCCAATTCAAACTATCTGAACCGCTAAAGATCGCAAGCAGTGGAATCGTTTTTAATACGCTTTTATTAGCTTCAGACGTATATGAATGTTTGTAACGGAATCTTTGAACATGATTTGGACCCCCTTCAAAACGTCGGATTAACTTGAAATTTGGTATAGTTTGGTATATTAAGGACCGATAACAATTCAACATAAAAAAAAATAAAAAATAAAAAAAAATTTGAAATTCAACTAAAATATGAAAAACAAATAATAGTTTAAAAAAACTAACAAAATACAGGGGCAATCAAAAAAAACTTCAAATTTCAAATGCGATTTTTCCTCTACCTATTCACTGGTAGGCTAAGAGGCTATTCCATCTACGCGTGGACGGGTAGGTGAGTTCACAGACTCAATTAAGATATTTTTTAAGACTAGTTGCTAGGGCAAGAGCGGTACTTAGCAGAATCTACCACCGGATCGGAAACGCGATCCACTGAGAAGATCTGGTGAAGATCCGAGAAACTCATTGGGCACAACAAGACATAGATGCCTAAACATTAGTACCAATTAAAATTTAAAACGATCAGTTTGGAAAGTTGACAACATACACATAGATTCCTGCTTCTAATGTCAAGCTTCTAATGCCCGAATTATTAAATAATTATTTTTCTACGAAATGAAACAGTGACTATGCGAATATGAAAAGTAAACGACTGGAATTAACGTTTTGATAAAATAAATTAAATATCATTTCTGAGATTAATAATAGAAAATAGTATTTTTTTATACACGAACTCACCCGAGACGCCTCTGATGAATCGTTTCGTAAAACCAGAATGGTCACACAAGTTAAATGGAAAATAATTTTGAGGCTGTCTTTCGTTGAGTGAGCATTCATCAAAATGGAAGGGAAAAAGAGATTAATCGACCCTGTGAAGAATGATGCGAGGACCTTTGGTGTGACATGTTTAAATGTCAGAACAAAAGGATGCCGAGAAAGACAATGATAACATTGCGCCGATCCAGTATTACTACATAGTATAAATCAAAGTCGCTTTCTCTGTCCCTATATATGCTTAAATCTTTAAAACTACGCAACGGATTTTGATGCATTTTTTTTTAATAGATAGAGTAATTGAAGAGGAAGGTTTATATGTATAATAACATCCATTAAATAGTGGAGAAATCAATAATAAATTACAGTTTCCGAAGCGAAGCGAGGGCGGGTCGCTAGTTATTCCTATATAGCTCATAATAAAGCAGTGAATTCTAACTATAAATTGTAAAATTAGTCTCTTCTGCAACTCGGTAGTTCCTAAGGAATGTGGATGTCCATGATGATCTGAAGCTTGACTCAGTCAGTAAATATTTACAGTCGTAGTACATTGAGGCACTTTGAGAAGACGGTACGACATGAAAATCCTCCTGTCGTGGCTGCAGGAAATTACATACCCGATCCTGTGGACCGAATGGTAAACAGTCGATGTCGCTTCTTACTGGTGGTAGGACCTCTTGTGAGTCCACGCGGGTGGGTACCACCAACCTGCCTATTTCTGCCGTGAAGCAGTAATGCGTTTCGGTTTGAAGGGTGGGGCAGCCGTTGTAACTTACTTGAGACCTTAGAACTTATATCTCAAGGTGGGTGGCGCATTTACGTTGTGTATGTCTATGGGCTCCAGTAAACACTTAACACCAGGTGGACTGTGAGCTCGTCCACACACCTAAGCAATAAAAAAAAAAAAAAAAACTATTTTCAGTCTCTTGCCTTTCGCATCCAGTCATTACCAGGTATTTTGACCAGGCCGTCAGCCCATTTCATTGATTTTCTGGCCACGTTAGGACATCTAGTACGAGGTATCCACTCCAGAACTTTTGTGCCCCACCGGTGGCTAGTGCGAAATTATATTATTAAATTGCAAAAAAATTACTAGTTATATTTGTTAAGATTTGAGAAATCGAATTTAATAATAAAAGTTTGTTTGTTGGTCTATATATAGTACAGCGCTGCCCATGCTTACTGACAATATGCCCATAATTAACAATGAGCCGGTGTTCGAATCTTACGGACAGATACCAATTTTCCTAATTAAAACAATACATATCCACGATGACGAAGTAAGATTCCGTAATAAAAAATAAACCTGCAAAAATAATTAACGGTCTAATTAAGGGTTGTAGGGCCTCTTTTGAGCCCGCACGGATCGTGAAGCGGTAGTGTCTTTCAGTTTGAAGGGTGGGACAAGCTTTTTCTATAGAAATGAGACTTAGAACTCATGTCTCCAGGTAGCAACATTTGTTTTGATACACCGACAATCTGATGTTGTTGTTCGGAACTTGTATATTTGCAAGCTTATACACGGTATTTTTTTTAATGCCTAAGTGGACGAGCGCAGCCCGGAGCCCATAGACATCTACAACGTAAATGCCACCACCTACCTTCAGATATAAGTTCAAATGTCGCAGTATAGTTACAACGGCTGCCCCACTCTTCAAACCAAAACGCATTACTGCTTCACGGCAGAAATAGGCAGGGTGGTGGTACCTACCCGCGCGGACTCACGAGAGCTCTTACCACCAGTAATTACGCAAATTATGATTTTGCCCGTTTGATTTTTATTACACGATGCTATTCCTTCACCGTGGTAATTGATCGTGACCATTAAATTAGTTGAGTACGTATTTCATTAGAAATATCGGTACTCGCCTGCGGTATAACAAATGTACACGATTGACTTCCACGGTGAAGGAATAGCATCCTGTAATAAAATCAAACCCGCAAAATTACAATTTGCGTAATTACTGGAGGTAGGACGTGTTATATCTCCGCACGGGTAAGTATCACAACTCTGCCTATTTCTGTCGTTGTCTGAGCATACGAAATCTGAATCTCATGTTTGTTTTAAATAAATCAGAAAATTCAAGTATCATCTTGTAGGCTCGCTGTGTTTAATTAGTACTTCGTTTAACATTAAAACTAATGAATAAAGAGAGACACTTCTGAGCACCTACTGCCGAGAACTTAGTTTCTAACAGCACTTAAAACGGAGTTTAAATTTTATTTGAATGTTGCAGTCCATTAAAAAAACTAGGCGAAATTTAAAATGACCACTGAATTCTGTTTCAATCTGTCTTTTCTGCATTAATTAATAAATAATTAAGCATTATGGAGAAGACTTTCTCCATTAGATAATAGTGGAAACACGGCAATAGCTTAACACGTTCAATAAACATTTCCATAGAGTCATCATTTGGGTCTATTTTAGCAATAGTCGGTTTGGCGGTAGCACTGACATTGTTAATATCCATGAAAAAACATGATAACTCACAATTAGATGGGTTTGCTTGTTGGCTTATAGCACGAGTGCTGTCAGATGTCGCAGTCATTGTACTTACTCGACTGCAGGGGCTTTAATTTGTTTCACCACTTTAATAGCGCTGTTAGTAGGTCAAATGAGGTTGGAAATTGTGCTTCACACAGCAACGACACTGAACAGATCTTTGGGTGGTTTTGGCAGACCCGATCTAGTTCTAGTCATGCTTATTTGGTTTGGTATTTGGTTAGCTAAATAAATATGCAGCGACGTATTATGAGCATACCCTGAGTTTCTTACTAATTGTTTTCAGTAATGAAACTGTATTCCGGAAACGACGGTAAAGCTGTGGCGATTGAAAGCGCTCGTAAAGGTCTAGTTGAACAATTTTAATTGATTTTGTCACTCCATCTTACCAAGTACGTTCGCGATTTGAAATAATCACCCA